ATCTCGTTCGCGGCACTAGTTGTGACGTCACGTGCTCTGCAGGCTCTGATATCCTGGTCACGGACAGCACCAGTTGTGATGTCTTTGCCGCGGCGTCAGCTGTTCGCTCCTCGCTGCTCCAAGTGTGACGTTCTAACCCTTTGGTTAGATGAATAGCAGCCTCGTCGTTCCCAACTCGCCTCCAACGCCTGGTTACTAGGGTAACTGCACTGATCTCCGGTCTGCCTACCCACGTTGTGATTAGATCTTAGACAAACGGGATCAAACAGGGATTGGGGCCGTAAGCAAGCTAAGTTCAACGGGGGTGGTAACACACAAGAAAAAGAAAAACTCACAAGGTCAAAAATTATTGAAAAAAAAGGTAACAACCTTTTATATCCAAATGTTCGTTACACAAAATTGTTCCTACCTCCCGACCCGTTTTATGGACCGTGGCACCAAGCTTCCACCATACAACTTTAAGACCTCGAGTTGCTTGTTCTCTAGAAATTTGCATTTCGGGGTGTGGTTTGGTTTCGACACTGGGCGCTGATCTCTACCAGTCGTTCACGGCTGATTTCCCTCGCCGTCAGTGCGCGAATTAATTTCTTCTCTTCTGCTTCGGTTGGACGAGTTTATTCACTTCGGCTTGAGTTAGGCGAATTCCTTTACTTCGCCTTGGGTTGGACGAATTTCTATTCTTAGGCTTGGTTTGATTTCAACTTCTTAGGCGCAACTGCAAGTAACTTCTTCTTCGTCCGAGGCGCAAAACCAAACTCAACTGCAACTTCTCTGCCTGTCCGGCCTGCAACTGATTTCTGTCGATTGGGGTCCTGCTTTTATTGACGCCGTAACAAACTGGGGTGGGTCTGTCGGCGCCAGGGTTTTCTTTGATAATTCCAAAAGTCGCATTATTTCTGATTTCCAATTATCGCTCTTACTTTCACTCCTACTTCCTTACAGTGCCTCTGGGAGGCGCATACCCGCTTCCCTGGTCTTTCGTATGTCAGGTGACCGCTCTCGACCAATGGGGTCCTGGTCGAGCGTCTTTCCTCCTCCCTCGCACATCACGTGACCGCTCTCGGCAAATGAGACCCTGGTCGGGCGTCTCTCCTCCTCCCTCATGTATCATGTGACTGCCCTCGGCTAATGAGACTCTGGTCGGTATCTTCCCTCCTTCCTTCGTGACGTCTCCAATCGGGCGTGGACAATCCGTGGCCTTGTTCTGGGGGGAAGAAATACCTTGCTTAGAAAAACAAAATCCAAATTGTCCTTTTCGCACGAAAATGACGACCCCGGTTTCTTTCACATTTGGCCTTTGTCAAAAAAGCCTGCCGCTAATTAGATGCGACTTAAAGAAGAATTTTTTCGCCTTGTTGGCGTCTTCCGCGAGCTAAAACAATTGTTTTCACCTCTTTCTTTCGCTCGGGCCTGTTAACAAAATCTTAATTATCTAAATTGAAAATATTTTCCACTCATCATCTTGGGAGGTTCTTATCTTCAACCCCAGAACTGGTCAGGGTTCGTGTACCAATGTTTTGTTTTCGTATACATTTTCCAGCGGTCACTTATCATCTCAATGACACCTTTTCGTTTCTTTACCTTATTAATATTTTTTTTCATTGTCCTTAAAATCTTATTTCTTCAACCAAATTGATAATAAACTCCCATACTCCGCGGACACGAAAGTAGGTCAGGTGCTTGACCGACATCTGTTATGCATCAATCGCGCTCACTACCCCGTCTCGTATCATTATTTCTAAACTCTATTCCTTCAACCAAATATAACAATTTCTATTTTCCGTGGATTTTGGTCAGGTACTTTGACCTGGATATCTTTTGACGCGTGTTTTGCTTATGACCGGGTTTTGTACTATCTATTTCTCTTTCTCTTTCTTTTTATTATTTCTTTTTTTTTTTTTCCTTTTTCTTTCTTTCGGATCGCCTAAATACAATTAGAGAATTATTCTCAAAACTCAATTATTCTTCGTCTCTAAATAACTATCAACTGGTTAACAAACTGAATAAAAATAAATCATATTTTTATGAATATCTCTTTTCAGTTTTCTAATAATGCAGGGTGCCACAGAGGAAAATGAACAATAAATGTCTACAGATTATTAATCAGATTTGGGAGACTGAGTGGGGAACTGCAGATCATTCCCTTATTTTGATTTCATATTCCTCATTACCAAAAACAATTTTGGTTTTTGTAAGGAATAAAGAATCTTGTAGAACGTACAGGGTCATTTGTATTATTATTATAAGTATTACTTTTTAATTTGTTTAATTTGATATTTTATTTATTAAACCGACTAAAACATTTGTTGACAATCCTTTTTGTTCTTGTTAGAATCTCTGTTATATTTTATATATACAAAATACACAGGGAAATTATTGATTGATGTTTTCTTGGATTTATCATTTTTTATTTTTTGGATTAAATCGAAAATAACGAATTTCAAGTTATTTAGTTTTTAAATGAACTTGTCACTGTGTGCCTAAATCCTTTTCTCGGAACTGTAGATGGAAAATGAAGTGTGGAATTGATAGATAGATAGATAGATAGATAGATAGATAGATAGATAGATAGATAGATAAGAGGCTGATATTGATAACTATAACAGCAGATATATAAGAACAGACTGAGATAGATAGATAGATAGATAGATAGATAGATAGATAGATAGATAGATAGATAGATAAGAGCAGCGTCAAATAGCTATGTAAACATTGAGAAGATAGATATACAGTTATGGACAGTTAGATAGGGATAGGCCGCAATAAACAGGGAAAGTAAGTTACATATGAACAGACTGAAACAAATATGAAAATGAAATAAATACGGATATGTTCTTACATCTCTCTCTCTCTGTCTCTCTCTCTCTCTCTCTCTCTCTCTTTATATATATATATATATATATATATATATATATATATATATATATATATATATATATATATATATTACACTGAATCATTCATACAAAAAGTAAATTAATAAAGTTAATGAGATAAAGTGTCGAATTCATTTACCTAAATTTTAAAAATGCATTAACCAACTAACCACTTACTAAATTTTATGATCCTTGTTTTTTTGGGTTTTTTTTAAATCATAAACTGTATTAGGTCTTCCTTAAATGTGCAAGTACTTTCGTCGGATCTTCCGCTCATCATCAGGCATGGAAACTATTGTCTTTTTACTAAAATTCAGGTAGCAAATTAGACGAAAAAATATAATGCAAATCGAAATATGTTTCTTTTTTTAAGTGTGTTATTGATAACAGATACAAACTCGTGGGGCGTGCAGGGGAATTTTAAAAAAAAACAAGGATCATTACATTCATTGAATGGTTAGTTGAAAATTTATTTAGCGAAGGAATTTCGCCATTTTACATCATTAACTTTACTTTTTGTACGAATGATTCAGTGGAATATAAATTAAACTACACCACATAATTGATATATATATATATATATATATATATATATATATATATATATATATATATATATTTACACACACTCAAATATATATATATATATATATATATATATATATATGTGTGTATGTGTGTGTGTGTGTGTGTGTGTGTGTGTGTGTGTGTAAATATTCTCAGACTGAGTGTCAGTAAAAGCATGTGGAGGACACAAAGTGACATAATTCAAAGTCTGATAAAATAATGTAAAGTGACCGAGTAATATTTAATATATTTTTTTTATAAATGAATATTGTTTGGATTGTGATTAGATTGTTATTGCATGAAATGGACTTTTGTGGTGTACATCTTCAAATGCCGAAGTGATGAATTTAACCCTGATGAATTTCCTTTTGATTTTTAACATATTTGTTATTGTATATGTTGGCTTGGGAAAAGTAGTAATTTTTTAAGGAAAGGTGAGATTGGGGAAAAAATGGTGCGAGAATTTTCGCTCTAAGTAAATTACTTTCTCTTTTGATGAGTGTGGCATTTTTTAGATGAAAATTATGGACGAAATAATTTTTGAAAGGTCAGTCAAATGCACTAGTCATAAGTAGTGCATTTGACTGACCTTTCAGTCACCCGTTGAACTCTCATGAACGTTCTAAAATTTATAAGACGTGATAAACCAATGATATTCTCGCCTCTGTATATAAACACGTGCAGCATAATAAATTCTACATTGACTTGATAAAGTCCGTAAGAGGATGAAACGCGTCGGTTAAGTATAGTTTTTCCTCTTTCTCTTTTTATTCATATATATATATATATATATATATATATATATATATATATATATATATATATATATATAAGGTTGGTGCAAAAATAGTGACGTAATGATATCGTTTTTTGACGTATTTTTTAACGTCAAAAAACAATATTCTTACGTCATTATTTTTGCACCAACCTAATATATGTTTATGTAAAATAATTAAGAAAGGGACAACCTTAAGGTTCCATGACTATTATTTATTTCCCCTAGAAAATATATGTTTCCTGGTTCATCAGGTCACAGGGATAGTTTTAGATTGATATAAGGTGACAGAGGTGGTGGGAGGGGGATGATTCTAGAATGCTCTATATTGGAAATGGAAAGTTGGGATGAGGTTGTTTTTAAGCCATCTTTAATAATTTACGTAGATTCAAGTGTACTCAGTTAAGTGGACAGACAATTTGACCTCTTAAATAATTTTTAGACAGGAAGAGAAAAGAAGAAAAAAAAGAAGACAAATTGTAAAGCAAGGGAGGGGGAAAAAGAGGAAGAAGAAAAGAGTTAAACAGGGGAGGGGATATATATATATATATATATATATATATATATATATATATATATTGACAACTGACAAAAAACACATCAATATAATTTATAGTTAATAGATAAAGTATTAAACATTACCAGCAAAGTAGGAATAAAATAAGACATATTAATAATATTATTAATAATCTTATTAATAATGATTAATACAGTTGTAATTAATATAAAACAATATATTAAAGATTATTAAAAAATTAAATTTTAAAAGAAGAGTATAAAAATTAATATTATTAATAACAAGTATTATAAAGGTTAAAAATAAATTTAAATTTGAATTTAAAATTTAAAATTAAAGTTTATAAATGGTAAATAAAAAATATATTTAATATTAATTAAATATTAAATATTTAATATTAATTTAATATTAACAATCAGATTACTTACTACCACTACTAATATTATTAATCATAATAATGATAAAAAGAATGATAATAATTAGATAGAAATAAAAAGTAAAAACTAAAACATAAAAATAAAAATATAAAAATAATAATGTTGCCTGGTAAATTTGTTTAATCACCTTATTTTGATGGGAAATTCTGCAAAATAAATGAAAAACCTGAATATATACACGCATATTCATATATATACCTATTCTTATACATATATTTCCATACATATAATGATATCAAGCAAAACATACAATTATATAAAGACCAATGCGTTAAATAATCACATATACATCTTAAATAAGTACGTATATATACATATATACCCAACTATAGACAAATTCACATACCTACACGTAGTGTAATGCGTTCTTCCACATTAAACCTGACTAATGTTTCAGATCCTGCAACAGAAGAATTTATATTTCTGCCTTTATCTCTTTATATATATATATATATATATATATATATATATATATATATATATATGTGTGTGTGTGTGTGTGTGTGTGTGTGTGTGTGTGTATTTAAATGAGAGAGAGAGAAAGGAAGAAATCCAGAGAGAGATAAATGCAGTCTGAATAAACAGATAGAGTGAAAGTGCAAAAAAACGAACGAGCATTATATATATATATATATATATATATATATATATATATATAGCGATTGCTATGTTTTTTACATCCACATACACTCCAAGTCATTTTATGCGCCTGCGATTGGCTAATAAATTACTACTACATTTGTATAGGACAATTTAGCCATCGCAGTCGTTCCTTTTAATCTTTTGGTTCTGAGCATACTTACCTATCCTGTTTAGTACGAGTGTAGGGATTGGTTAATTTTTAACCAATCACATATTTTTAATGTAATAATAAGTTTTCCCGCGGTTCCGTGGGAACCTACCTTCTTTTCCTTAAAAGGGACGACTTTCCGCAAGTCGCCAGTAAGATCCAGTAAGATTCCAGTCGTCAACACAAATCCACGATCTTGCTCAACGCACACACAGACACAGAATTTTGTAACTACAAACTTATATTTTCTCTCTGTAACTTTCACCAAGCACAATCAACCAGAACTTTGTTGATTCAGACCAGTTTTTATTCACAACACATTTCAAGCAATTGTATTCTTGGTGTTATTCATTCTTCACATGCAAACTTTGCAATTATTTCGGAACATTTATCTCACAAGAGAACTTTCTTCAAACAGTTGATTACAATCAATCTACAGTCAAAGGGAAACAACTTCCTTCTCTTTAATCTGCATTGTGAATACGATTTTATTTCATGTTTGTCGTTGTATTTTATTCAATATATATTTGTTGGTTAACAAATTGGAGTTGCTGTTATTATTACTTGAATCCTGTACGTGGAAGTATCATTAATATGAACACTGAGCTCTGAGATCCAGTAATCAATCCAGTAAATAAATTGACTTTATTGTATGACTCTCTACAAAGGAGGAAAAAAAGGCTAAACAAATTGGGCAAATATGATTGCAAATTTCATTATCGATTGTCTCTATTTGGAAATACTATTCAGAATTGGTAACCAGAGTAAGGAGGCTTGAGTCAATTATACAATGTGAATGTAACGTAAAAGAACTGAAAATGATATTAGATTTATTTGTCGCCTTTTTTTTTTAATGCAAGCGTAGACGAAAATGCAGAAATGAATGCGTATCTTTAGATAAATTAACATATCCAAAATAAAAAAAATCCCTCACTTTGCAACAATAATAATAAAAGATATAGATAGAAGAAATCCCACATTAAAGCCGATTCTAAAGAAACAACCGAATATAGATCAGATATAACAGCGGTTAAATATGAGAGAAGAAAGTCGCATTTACTTTTTGAATCCATGATTCTTTCTAACAGTCTCAACAGACGATATCAAATTTAACAGATTTCATCAGTGTAGTTACATGCATGCGCAGGAGGTGATATTGAATAATGACTAATAAAGGCTAGAAGCATTGGTTTTGTAAGAATATTAATGAGACGTACTGTTTGATTTCTTTAATCTAAATTCATAATTCTTTACGCTGAATATATTTAAGAACACACACAAACGTATATATTCGTGTATCTACATTGATATCGTCTCACCATTGTGGGGCAGTTAGCAAGTCTCGCATACCATTGTCATTACAGTGCACACGATCCTTACTTGGAGCTTCGTCCAAGACTCAAACGAATTTAGAGAATACTTATGGATCCACATGGCGGCAGTCAATTTTATGTCGCTCAAATCTGTCTCAGAGGTCAATGTACGAAATCAAAGAAAACTTTGATTCTCAATGTTGGTGTTCAGGTCAGACAGCCATCATACCCACTTGAAAGATTTGCACAACACTATTGTTACTAATGGAAACTTAGTAAATACCTTTATCTGTGTCTCTTTCTCTCTCTCTTTCTCTGTCTCTCTGTCTCTGTATATATATATATATATATATATATATATATATATATATATATATATATATATATATATATATTAGTTTTTGAAACCTTTATATTATATTCTTT